CTAAAAGACTAACTAGTGTGTATAATTACTTTTATGTCAGTCTATCAATTAATCTTGTTCTTTAAAATAAGACGCAGTGACTAGGCTTAAGTTAACGCTTATATATATGAATATCCACCTGGTTTAAAGGAGAAATCATAACATGGGATAGTTGGATCCTAGAATATCTACTTTATTTAAAACTTTCGGAATGTTAAAGAAAGGTATTCTGTCATATTCTCGTAGTAGCGGATTATTCCAGCCTACAAAACAACTCGAATAATGCGTATTTTATAAACAGTTTTCCCTTGTTGTCTTCTTGGTAAATTAATGTACTTTTTTGGGTCACTTAAATCGCTATCAATCATGGACATCACAAGTTTGTTACATAACATAATCTGACCACTATGAAGTTTCTTCCATATTACTTCTGGTCCAGAAAGTATAGTAAGTTTGAATTAGTAAGAGGTCTCGTACACGCAATATGTTTTCACTGGTAGAGTGACACTATCTATTGATTCAGATGTAGTAATCGTTCACGTTACCATTCGATTAAATTTTGATAAATTCAACTACTAATGATTTTAGTTCAATAATCTGTTGTATTCCGATAAACTGTGTTGTGTATTCATTTAGTTCTGAGATTTCTTCAGCAAAAATTCATTTTATGGTTATTTGAGCATAAATGGTAATACCCAAAAACCATGGGATATGGTGTTATTTTCCCACAAATAAATTTTACGATGTAGGGTAGGCTTAGTCCCCTGAGTAGTTAGAAGGGAGAGGTGAGACTGGAAGCAGAGAACGTAAGGTCAGAGAGCGAAGTCGCACTGCCGAAAGTACTGAAATTTGAAGAGTGATGGCTTTTTTCTCTCAGGAAAACGGAATCTCTAGAGATGCTACATCCTTATAAAGGAAGGGGATGTGTACGAAAGATCTTGCTCTTCCCGTCTAAATAGTAGGAAGTAGTCCCTTGGGCTCTTTGGTCGGCCCCACGTCAGCGAGACCATTAATCCGCCCTTCCTTTCAGGACCCTCACGAGGAACTATTCTTATACAGTTTTGGCGGCCAGGAAGTGACAATTGCCAATGAACTCTTAACAGCACTTGAGATCACCATGTTTACAATCAAGCCTCCTATTTCGAACCTTAATATTTTATTTACATTACCAAATCCCATCTCCTGTCTTGAATTCTTCCATATGCAACATCCCTGCTAACCGTTCGAGTTCACAAAGTGCTACAAGAGGTTGCTTGATGCCGGGTTTAAACTTCCAATGTTCGAAATCTACGTCAAAGTGGGCAACAGGCCTCACTAATTAGGACTCAAGGATATCGGGAATTTGATGTATCCTGTCTCCGAAACATGTATACAAGATCCTAAAAGGGTCATTCATTTGACTCCACGTAGCTACTATGAAGAGGAAGGGCAACTTACCTCGAGTGTGTACAAAGACTCGGTAGCAATTTCTCATGACCTAGCCGATGTAAGTATAGTACTACTTGAAAGTGGGACATTTACTCCGTGGATGAACTACTGTGGACGATGGCTTATATGCTGTCCAATTAAATGATACTGCGGAAATTCTGAAAAACATGGACATATTACCGCCTCGTCATTGTTTATACCTAAGGGCTCAATGACTGCAGTTCAAAGGAGTAAATGATGAATTTCACGGAAAGCTTCATGAATTCCTTCAGAAAACCAGACACTCAGATGCGGCAATTAAAGGTGATTTGGAGACTCAAGTAGGCTAAGTCAAGCTGTAAAACACTTAGGTGTGCCTTTTAGGACCTCAGGTCACCAGACAAAACGGCGGCCGTCTCCTCCAATTATACTAGGATGAATGCTTATTCCCAAAAATCACCAATTTTAAGCATATAAAAGGATAATACTTAGTTTGATACCATTAAAATCGACAGACACAAATAGAACATATCACCATCAAGGATCTTTGGAGAAGTTTGATAAAAAGATTTTGGAGCATATGGTTAGACTCCGATCATGCCCTAATGAGAGCACATATTTTCATATGTCTTATTAGACATGGAAACTACCAGGAAGACCTATTAGATGTTCGTTCAAGAATGAAAAAGATAAGAATCCATTCAAAAAAGGAGTATGTGAACATTGAGTCAATTATGAAGAAGACAATTGTCCCGAAAAAGCTTAGAATGATATCCAAACAGTCGTAAATACAGAAGAGATATTCGTCATCCTCTGAAATCAAAAAGGTTAGAGAATATCAATGGATTTCGGAAACTTTTACTAAGTGTATAAGTAATTAAAAGCTCACCCAGAGAGGATCGAAGAACGAGAAGTGATGACACTTTAGGCGTAAACTATAAGCACCCATTTGATGATCATGAGCAGTGGTGGAGCTGGAAGGCAGAGGCGATAGGTAAAACTTATTGACTGTCATGACTCAAGGAAACAGGTATTAAAAGTCAACTGTCAGTGAAGAGGAACTATAATCTATTGTCGGTCTAGGAGATTAAAGTGTTTATGTACAGTCGAACAACCAAGTGAGAAATGCTAAGGTTAAATATAAGGCACCAAGGGAAAGTCAGTCAGTCAGCTACAACGTAGGACCAGGTACATATGTGCATCGGTCCAGGTTGCCATACCGCATCAGCACAACAAGATGAACACCGGATTCATAGCAGTGGTTAGGTCAAAGGTGGTAATATATAAGAGAAAGATTGCATATAGAGATATAGTACAAGAAGAAAGAATTGGTTCGTAGACAGAAAGAATGAAGTGATTTTAGTCTCTTAGTTTAAGGGAAGACAGGGAGTGTATACACCGACGCCATTGTGATCGATTCTGAGCCATGTCACCAAGAGTCTCCAACCATTGGTTACGAAAGTCACGCGGACCCCAACCAACTAGTCTGCATCTACCAACATGGCTCAGACTAGAAGTTATTGTCTTCAAGCACTGATGCCACGTTTTGGTTTGGCCGCCCCTAACTTTCTTCCAACCATCTCCAATACCGGATAACATTGCACGTCGTGGTAGTCGGTGTCCAGGCATACGTTACACGTGGCCCAACCATCTCGGTCGATGAAGATTTACGACCTCACCAACTGATTTACCATCATTCCCTAATACCCTGCGTCTAACCTCACTATTACTTATCTGGTGATCCCAGCAATATTTATAAGGCATCTGTGGTCAACTACTAGTAGCTTACGAGTATCTTCTACTCTTAATGGCCATGTTTCGCTGCCGTAAAGTAAAACAGAACGGACTGCCGCACAATATACCCGTCCTTTTATTGACAGACGGATATTTCGCCTTCGCCAAAGGTGACGCAAGTTGGCAAAAGCCAAACGAGCTTTTCGAATCCGTGCTGAGATTTCGTCAGACACCAACCCATTAGGGCTGATCAGACTTCCAAGATAAGTGAAGTTGTCAACGCGTTCGACTACTTCACTCCCTATCCTTAGTTCAGGTGTTGACGCAGACCAGTCCTGAAGCAACAACTTGCATTTAGAGGGAGAGAAGCGCATTCCAAACATTCTGGCGTTGTTGCTTAGTGCTACCAAAAGACTCTGCATTTTGTCAGCGTCTTCACCAAACAGGACTATGTCATCTGCGTATTCTAAGTCGATAAGTGGACCTCCTGGATGGAGATCAATACCCGAGAACTCAGTCGACGAGGAAGTTATTTTCATCAGTAGATCTATGATGAAGTTAAACAAAAATGGGGGAAGTGGACAGCCTTGACGGACACCACTTGTGGTTGCAAAAGTAGATGACAGTTCGCCATAAGCTCTGACTCGACTGGTAGTGTTCGAGTAAAGAGCCTTCACAAGGTTTATGTACTTCTGTGGTACGCCTTTCAATGACAGACAGTGCCACAGAATCTCGCGGTCTATCGAGTCAAATGCTGCCTTCAAGTCGAGAAAGACCACCATTGTCGGACGCCGATAAGTATGTCTGTATTCTAGAATCTGACGAATGGTGAATATGTGGTCGATGCAGCCACGACCAGGGAAAGTGGCTAGGAAGTGTTGTATATACTCAATCACTTTTTACTTCGACGAGTGATAGTGGCTGAAGTAGGTTGGAAGAAAGCTGGAAGCGACGAAGGCAATACATAGCAACAGTTTTTGAAATCACTGACTACTGGACACAGGCATGTTGGTAGACAATAACTACCTTGTTGAGGTCCACGAGATCAATAGTTTCAAAAATTTAGTATATCCCTTGGGACCCATCTCAGTAAAGCAGATATATTTACTTTTCATCTCCCCCTAGATCATGAGCTTCAATGTCCCTTCATACAATTATTTAATTCCGAATTACATTTTTAATATCTAATCTTTCACACTATTATAATTATTACAATTGCCTTGACTCTTTTGCTATCCATCTAGACATGCTGATGTGCTATGAAAAATTGGGCTAAGGTATATTTACACTAGGCTGTCGGAGCACAGCTCAGATAACAGCAATGAACCACTTATTTTGATGTAAGCAATATAGATGTCTAATGAATCTAAATTTCAAATAAAGGATTTATAACTAATAAATTTAAGTGATTTTCAGGAACTACTTGATTTTACACTTATAAGAAATAAACACTGAAATATTTCTACATACGTTAGATGGGTAATTTTCATAAAGTAAAGTCCTTAGTATCAATCTTCCAGGTTGGTGGGACGTGAAAATGTTTTCGTGAAACCAATCACATAGTGTAGGTTTAATCCGTTTGTTTCGGTTAACACCGTGGAAGTCAAATACTAACTTGGCAGATGAAGAACTTATCCATAATATCATACATAGGCAGTAACCAAGGCGTTTTAGTGTAGCATTTAATGTGTACATGGAGAAATGGGAGTAGGCCTGATACAATTAACAAATTATTTTGGGGATTAGTAACGTTCCACTAATACTGATGCATTGAGAAGTGGAGGGACATAACTAAACTGTGCATATTCACAAGAAACATGAACGCATAATTCGAAATTGACGAAATATGGAGTGATTATGTAGAAGACAAGACAAAAAGTACTAGTTTGGGATTTTAGATTCTTGTGAAATAAAACAGAAAACAGGAGAAAATTGACAAGTAACAGGGAAAGAAAGACATGCAAATAGAAGTTTGATTAAAGTCAATTATATTACTCTTTTACATCTGTTGTTAAGCATAAATTAAGTGTATACCTTAAGTAGGAAAATGAGCACTATATATACTCACAGTAACGAGTAGGACTCATCACAAAAGTACAAAAAACAGTACATAAAAATAAGTACTGAGTCGTTTAGAATGATGATATATAACAAAAAATTTCAAATTTTGTTTACATATTGTAAATGTCTATAAGTTGAATTCATTTTAAAATCTCATTCCATTGGACTGATGACGTGGTTTCCCATAGGTGAATGGTAAGTAACGGTATTTGATCATATGCTAATAAGTACAGAATTTGAAAAAAATTTAAGATAGAAGGAAATGCAAAATATTTTAGAAATGAGTGATGAATAGTTGAGTTTTTATCGAATATATTTTTTATGAAACAACCTTTGGGTAGATTGACAACAGCTTATGGAGTGTGGCATAAATATCAACCTCTCCCACTGTGACAGGTCAATACTCTCGACATACTTCATTTCTTTTAATAAGCTACACACAACTGTACAAATAGTTATTTGGTAATTCTGATACAAACTAACAATACTCGGTTGACCGTTGGTTCACCAATTTATGAGCTCGACTGAATAGATGATTATCGTTTCGAATTTAGCTTTACGTGTCAAGGCCTGTAAAAATGAGTGCTTTTAAAAACTATTGCCGGTGAGACTATAATTTATGAACAACCTTTGAACGAATTTCAAGTGACCCTAAGAGATTTCAGTCAGTGAAAAAGCAGTCGGTGTAGAGTAGAAATATACTGTACAAAACTAAAGAATTATGATGGATACACTTCCTTGACATGGTTTAAAAACGTCTCAGGGTTAGAGAGAGGCTCTGCTGTTCATAAGTCGTAATGCAAACGATATAGAAACTCATTCATGTGACTTCACAATAGTCGACATCTGGAGCCATGATAAGGTCGCGAAAATTCTTTTAGCCTCGACCACATTGCTTCTAATATTGGTGTGTACTCCAGTGGTAGTCTACAAAATATCGCTTATGAACGACTAAATAATGCACGCAACCGTACAACTGTAGCTTTTCGGTTTTCCACGCACTGTAGGTATCCTTTTGGAGATGATCTATCATAAATACCAAAGACCGGTTAAGTATATTTAAGGAAGTGCTACTTACCCAGTCATCTTGAACACTTTTTTCTCTATTGAATTTGTGTTTTCCGACGATTGTCATTAATCTCTACGATTCCCCCGATTCTTCCGAACGACTGGCGCAAGCTTATCATCTTCATTGCACATATATTTCGACAGTACTCATACTACCGAACTGCCGAAGTTTCAGTACCATCTGCGAAGGTTGCAGCTAGTTACTGGTGCTTTTGGTATCCGGTTCGCAAAAACTATCAAATTCTTAGTGTCAATTGGGGTGGAGTAAAAAATGTAACCGTTCTATAAAACTTTGGCTTCCAACATATATTACATCGATAGTCTGCATAATATCCAGCAGTTATTTGAACGCCGCAATCGCAAATAAAGGAGTTTCTCGTTATTCTTAACTGTTGTGGCTGCCCAACTAAGACGACTTAGATATTGAAACAGGCGCCGTAACCTTGGAATCGATTACTCGCTCCTGATCATCACGTCCATAAATAGTGGTTTCGCCACACAAATAACGGTAGTTCGGTAATGGGAATCATTACTGACCGCAGTTTTACTTTAGCCATTACTATTTGTTAACATACGGCCTAGACAAAATGTAACTGGTAAATAATCCTTAGTAACTAACAAAAATTACGATGAAAACACTCGAATGCAATAAGTCAGTAAACAAGTCTCATAAACAAAATAGTTGAGGATTATTGAACATACCGATATTTGACGCTTCATAGTCACGTAAAACAGCAAAAAGAAGTACATTACTAAGATCGGCCAAAACACAGGTACATCGAGAAAGCTCAAAAATGTACAGAATATAGATATAAATAAGCATATGGTACATGAGTTCCTGTTAAACTATAGTCAACGAAAAAATCATCATACCAAAACTTAAGTTCAGGTAATTTCCTTAAAAACGGCCTGAACTCTTCCGATGACTTGGTTGGAAGTACTTCATCTAAGAGAGCGAATCTTTAAAAAAATACACGCAGCTACCAGTGGAAGTTTCAGGTACAATTTTGGGCGAAAGAAAATCAATTAGTCTGTTCAGAAGAAATATTCCCATCACATACGTAACCACGTGATAACCCTGAAAAAATAAAGTGAAGGGCGAAGTATTACAAAACCTGTGTGATGATAACACGTAATATATAGAAGAAGATGAGAAGAACAGTAAAGCACCATCTTCCGACTGCATAAGGGGTCAATACATCGTACAAATGTTGTATCTTCTATCGTCTCTCGTAAAAACAAAGAAATAACACTAACCACTTCGCAGAAACGAAGAAACTCTGGTTTTGACGAAGGGCTTGGAACTTCTTGAGTATAATAATCCATCACTCGGTGAGATTTGTCTTCAGCGCTGTGACCCTGATCAACAAGGTCGAGACTTCAGTACAGCTTTCAAGAAACTTTCTGAAAAACACAAGTGTTCTTTTCCCTAATATTAAGGCAATTCGTCACGAAACGGTGAACGAAGTTTTTCGTTTGATTGTTTTTTGGTAGCGCGATTTACTTTATGCACGTGCAGTACCTGCGATATCACTTAACTTTGGTTTGGATTTCTCAAACTTATTATGTATACGTAAGCAAATAGCACACAACTTTCAATTCGAAGAATCCAACCTAAGGTTGGCTTCGGCTGATCGCTCTTTTTTAGGGTTTCCTTTGAATTAACAATCAACCGGATTTTCACTATACGGTGTTCAGTATTTCCAAGATAATACGCTATCTTTAATATTTTTGAAGTAATTATTGCACGCGACTTTAGATATTTTGTTTATTCAAAATGTTGTTTCATAGCTATGTACTGTCATTATCCTATTTCACTCATTATTTTATATCAAATTTAAACATCATCATGGTCATTAAAACAATTATAAATTATCAGGATTCGCTCCTGAAGATGTCATAGGCACACATATATATTTAAAATTATCACGTTGCCATTTAGATATAATCGGGAGTTTCGAATAAGTATATGTGACGGTAAATAAATCTGCAAAGTCAATAGTTCTGTATGTCTTCGACATTTGATGCTGACCTCACTAGTTCTACTAGATTCACTATAGTTAAATGCACTCAGTCATGCATCCTCACTAGCTCACATGTGGCTACACCAAGCTACTCATATCTTGCAACCGCCAGTCAGCTTAGACCAAACGTTCCTAGACATAACGAAAGCCTTCCAAATACATCTTCAAATTCCTTAATTTCTGACTTATGGTTTGACTGGGATAGTATACTCTGATTACAAAGGTGTTACTGGTTAAGGCGTTTTCAAACACCGAATATTGTGGCATCTTTAGTGGTGAGGCCGACGTGATTTGGTACACAGATTCGTGTGCTATGAGTCTGTTACTTGTTAGAACTTTATATCTTGATTCTAAATTTTCATTTTTACATATGGTGATACTGTTTTCACGTATTTCTTTCATTACCATACTTTACATTAATCATGAACGAACAGACTCCCAAGCTGTTTGAGACTGAGACTCACCACCCTCATTTCAGCTAATGCCTTTTGGCCAAAAATCGAAGTCTGTCTCTGCTACATAGAAGCTGACTTCCACGACCACGGCATGACCGACCCACTTGCACAATTACCCACAGCAGTGAAGGCGCTACAGCCGACCGAACAAGGCTAGACCAACCGTTCAACAAAATTGATCTACGACATAGCTCAGCAACAAAAATGTTGCGACGAATGAGAAAGACCATTGGTTGAAGGACCTTCAATGAGGGCCTGTCTAACCTTCCGCAACAGGTGCAGGCAGTGCTTGTCTCATTTCAGAACAACTCTGTAGACGAGCTAGATGCATCTGACTACCGGATTTCGAAAATCACCAGAACCGCCGACGCCGAGGGCTATTTAGTCAAGGAAATGATCCAAACGACACGAGATGACGTTACAGAACTCCGTCATACTCTGACATGTCACCTTACTATTCGTGATAACCGTAGACACTTCCGAACTCCTAGAAGGGGTACTTCATGAAAATGATTAGTCTCTAAATCAAGAGAGACAGATAAACCCGACTGGTGTTGGTATCATAATCGGTACGGAAAATATTCTCTAAACTGCAGAAAACCCTGCAATTTTCTGGGCCTCAAGCCGACCGACGCCATAAACCTTTCAGAAAATTTGCCAGCCTACAAGCTTAAATGACGAACATAGCCGTATGTTATGCATCACTTATGTGATTACGAAATTTTGCTACCTCGTCTATACCAGTGCAGAAGTTGGTGCTCTTCCATCAAGTTGTAACGACCGGCTGCACGTAGCAGCTTTCAACTTATGGGAAACCAATTACAACATATGGCAAGTGGTATGTGCACCTTAACGTGGGTTTACGCAAACCCAGATGTTTCTCTACCAGTCATTGATATTAGATCCGCCACAATATCATAATCTACTAATCGACAAGCGTAAACGGAGGTTAGTAGATGGAAATACTAATTTATCTGTTTGTATAACTTCCTTTTTCGGTTGTAGATTGTCCCCACTCACAACAACACACACGATCGATCTATGCTATGAACAAATAGTCGATAAGTACCCTAAGATGTACCCAACACAACCGAAATTACTATGTGTAGCCAGCAATGTAACACATCACACCACGACTACGGGACCACCTATATTCTTGAAAACGCGCCAACTAGCTGCAGAAAAGCTGAGGTTGGCTACAAACGAATTCGATCACATGATAGAATTAGGATTAATTCGGCAATCGAACAACTCATAGGCATTTCCCTTCCACATTGTCTCTAAAAATGGCAGCATTGTTTGACGAAAGCCATTCCGGATCGTTACCCCTTGCTATATGCACTCACGATTTGACAGCTACCTTTAAACACGTAGAATGATTGTTTAGGTTCATTATTACTACTGATGTAATAATAGACCTAATCCTGAAATTATAAATTTGTCATGATGTGACAACCTAATCTATAAGACCTTACATGGAAGTCACGTTTTCCACACTGACTTATCGTATCGTGACAATCAGCAGTATGATATTTAGTACTTCCGAAAAACACTATTAGGTCAGATACAGATTAATGCATTTAAACGGAATAAATTCAGGTTATACAGAATGACCACTTCACTGAAGCTGTCATGCCAACCAATTGAATTGAATGAATATTCCCGCGTCCACCATTGTTGGCCTTCTCTTCGTGTTAAATGTTGAATATCTGTTTTCCCAGTTATCTCATGTTCACCTTCAAGGATTGTGTAGTTAAAACCAATACCGATGCACTACTCTCCCACTAGAATGAACGTGACATTGGTTTGGTACCATATCGAGTGAGATTGTTGCACGCCGGAGGTTATCAAAAGATCAGTAAGAAAATCCCCCGGGTATTGATAAACTGGAAGATAAAGAAAAAAGAATCGAGTAGCAGCTGATCGAGAAATAAATGTATTAATTTTAGAATGTTTGGTTTAATTTCTAACATGTGCAAAATAGAAATTTAGGTGATTATTTAAGAGTGGGATTATAATAATCAAGAACAACTTATCATAAAGATATTTTAACAAGTCACTTCAAGGTGCATATTAATCACCGTTAGTTAACAGAGTAACTTGTGGAAGTATAAGTATGTTATGCTAAGAAATAAAAAACAAACAATATTGCATAAATTTCCATATTGCTATCATCTCTGGTTGAGACTAGGAATTCAGTTGACGTTTATGCAGTTCACTGTCTGTATGAGTTGACTTCCAATTGCATTTTCACCGGTAAACTAAGTGAAAGAACAGAAGTATAAACATGGAAAGAATTCCAACTAGTGTTCCAAATAGTTTGTCAAGTTTAACACGGTTTATTTATTTGTGGAGAGATTTTCTCGACCTCACTATTGTTTACTCATGAAAGGAATTACTAAGACTACTAATACACATGAATGGTTATCGAAAATTCATTTAATACATGAAATTGGTGACAATTATGTGTATTCCGGACAGATGGCTGACATTAATTCGTTAGATATGAGTGGATCCATGAGAAATATGCTCTAGACTAAATGTTTTAGTGTACAATAAACCAATTATTTATATACATATTTATCGGCTGACAGTACCTACAATTTATAGAGTTTAGCATAAGATAGAAAATGACTTATTCAAAATATAGTGATTAAAAATTATTGAAATCAACAAAGTTTATGTGCCACAAACATAGGTGATGCGGTGTTGCACAATTCTTCAGCCTAAATAAATGTCTACAATGTGATAAACAGTGAGTGGTGCTCATGTGATTATCAGGGAGAATAAAAGTTGTAACCAAGGGGAGTACAACTTGAACTTTAGTCAGTGTTGGGTTAAATTCGACAGTGATTTTTCAGTTTTGCAGGAGATTTACTCAACTGCTTATACTGATGATTTGCATGCATGGTTGTATTTAGGATGGAATGGCGTATTTAGAATGAAACCCTATTCATGTCGGTTTTCCTTCGGTGCAATCGAAGGACACGAGCCTCTCAATTACGATACTTCACACGATAATCAACACTCACGATGACACTTCGTTGGTATCTCACAACCAACTAAAAAGAACGCGTTCTAGAAGAGGAGTAAGGTTTCCAGAACACCTAAAGGATTACTGCATGTATGACACTACATAACATTTTGCTTCGTCTAAACTTTTTTGTATTATTGTGTCAAAACTTTTTTGATATGCTCATATATATATATATATATATATATATATATATATATATATCCATTGTTGCTAATATGCTTATACGTATGTTTTTTCCCAAAAAAACAAAAAAAGATCCATTGTGCGAAAATCGTTCCTACACTGTTGCATGTTTGAGAAACACATGTATGTAAGCTTATTTTCCTTTCTTCGCCCGTTCTGTTTCCTTTCGCACGTACGAGTGTAACTCGACATGCAGTTACAGGTGCTTTTCCGTTTACAGGACGATTGGAAAAGATTAGAAAACCGACGAAGATTATGAAGAAACGAAATTTTCATTTTACTTGTTTTTCATTACTAAATTGTGACACCTAGTCCCTTATAATAAGGAACGACGACCAGACGTTGCTGAACATAGAAAGTTATCAGAAGAGTGTTTATCGTAGAGTTTAAACATTTGACTGGCCACGTCTTAGGTTCATCACCACCCAACTAAAGAGGGAGTGAACTGTAATAGTAAATAAATCCCCAAAATCAATAGTTCTGTATGTCTTCGACATTTGATGCTGACCTCAATGGACCAAAACTTCCTCGACATAGCGAGAGTTTTTCAAATATATTTTCGAACTCCTTAATTTCTGACTTCTGATTTGACTGGGTTAGTATACTTCGATTATAAAGGTGCCACTAGTTAAGGCGTTGTCAAACTCTGAATACTTGTGGCATCTCGAGGTATATTGTTAAAGTAT